CGCGGCGGCCGCCTGGGGAGCCGGCGCCATGGCGGGCGGGGGCAGCGCCGGGGAGTGGTGCCTCATGGAGAGCGACCCGGGCGTCTTCACGGAGCTCATCAAGGGCTTTGGTGAGGGGGCGGGCGAGAGGGAGCCCCGGAGAGGCCTGGGCGGCCCCCTGGGTGGGGGTGGGAGTGGGGTTGGTGTTGCTTCCGAGCGGCTGGGCCTCTGCCTGGCTCTGAGCGTGCAGAGAGACCTGTCTGGCCCGGCCCGGCCCGGTCCTGCGGGAGGCCACGGGTCTCTTGCAGCTCCGCGCGCCCTTACCCGCGTCCCCCAGCGCTCAGGGGACTCGTGTGAGGCGGGTGCGGTGGTGTAACACATTGCATTGCTGAGGGCTGGGATCACCTTTGAGTTGCACTTCATGCAGCACCGTTGAAACAACGAAGCTGGCGTTAGCTGTAACTTTAGAGGCCGGTTTGCACACCACTAGTGCAGAACATGGTAGGAAGAAGCTGAGAAACTTATAACAGGATCATAGTTCACAGCTGTCGATTATGGGTCTGCTTTCTCACCCTTTTTTGCCTGTGCCTAACATGCAAACCTGGCACCTGGCTTGAGAAATCCAGTGAATGAAATACAAGTTTTTTTCCCCTCTGTCACGTGGCAGGGTAAGCCATTGCTTTCTGCAAAGGTACAGAAATCTGTGCAGAAACGTTACCAAAAAAGCCCTGCCCCGTGTCATTTTAAAGAACAGTCTTGCACTGCGTGCAGATCTGGAGCGTTCTTGCTCTGGAGATACGAGCATATGGCAACATAACTAAAGTGAAATTGAATTTCGATCAGTAAAACTTGCTCTTGAGTACCTTTTTTGGGTCTGCCGAGTCGCATCTGCTTCATGTTCCTGCAGGTTTGGGAAAGTTGTGATAAGAGAAGTATTTGGGATTATGAAAAATTCTTCTTTTGTATAATGTATGGAAAATTTCTTCTTTTTTATGATAGGATGCCTAGGAAGAATAAGATAGTGTAGATCTGGATACACTGTTCAGGGAAGAGATCCTTTCTGCATTGTAGCTGCTGGAAACCAGCTGCAAGCCCACGGGGGAATGTTGCAGAAGATCAGAACCATGTGCTTCTGGATCTGCGCAGGGGGCGAGGGCGGGCTGTTGCTGTGGGCTGAGGTTGGGGCAGCGCCGAGGTCTTTGTGGGGACTGGGCTGGGCTGTGCTTGGGGTGGGCAGTGGCAGCACTGGGAGGGGGCTACGGGGAGCCTGAACTACCCCAAAATTTGCTGTAGCCCCCCCGACCCTCCCTCCCTCTGCTGCCGCCACCTGCCCTGAGTGCAGCCTGGCCCAACCCCCCACTGGGAAGAGCCTGGTGCTGGCTTTAGCCTGCAGAGGCAGCCCACCCTCTCCCCTCATGTGGATCCTGGGCCACACCCCCATGCTTTCCTGAGGTCTGCAGAGCGGCAGGAGCAGCCCTGCTCTGTGCCCCCTGGATGAGCCGCGCGTGGCTCCATCCTGTGTCCTGCCCTGGCTGTGCAGCCCCAGCCCCATTCCCTCCCTCACAGCTGGGGCCTTGATCTGCCGCCCTCAAGCCCCCTTCCCTCACAACAGACTTACCAGCTAGACCCTTCTGCTCTCCATGATGCGGGGCAGCGCTCCTGGCTGCCTGCATGATATGCTGTGGCTGCGTGCGTGCGTGGGGCGTTTATCAGTGGCATTATCGGCCACATCAGCCAAAAAAGGCCGATTGGCACCAATATAATGAAAATTGACTGTATTGGCAATCCAGTATGGGACCAATGTATCAGTGCACCTCTATTTATATTTCCTCTGAGATCTCACTAATGATTGAGGATTGTGCTAGGTTATCTTGCACTGCGCTAGAAGAGATTTGGAAGCCCTGTCCTGATTGAATGGCCACCATAATTGAAAACCTTGTTAGCAGTAAGGAGTAAAGTATAAGATTGAATGGGTCAGGAAGAGTGAACCATATTCATTGTAGAGGTGATTCTCCCAGGTCAGCCCTGAAGTATGTTGACAGCCTGTTGTAAAAGGTTGTGGTTTTGGGGAAAACTGAGAACTCTGGTCTCCTTGAACTGCCAAAGATGAGTATTTCTAAGCACTAAATTAGCTTAATTAAATTATCTAGTAAAGTAGCTCATTCTGACAATCTAAAAGTTTTATATACCGTATAACCTCATAAATCCGGATATCAAAAATTGGGAATTCTTGAAAATCCAGCACTTCTTAAGCTCTGCACTCCACTCCCCCAGATGCGGAGGGCAAAGCTTGCACGCGGTGGCTACTGCCGCCATCTACCACCCCACGCTGCTGCTCTGCATGTGGCCACTGCTCCGGGACTGGCCGCTGCAAACCCTGCCCCCGCCTCCCTCCCCCCCTGACATGGAGGTGTAAGCTTGCACACAGTGGTTGCTGCTGCCATCCATCATTGGCTCTGCGTGCATCTGTTGTTCCGGGACCGGAACTCCTCCCTCCTCCCCCCCTGCTCCACAATTGGTCGCTGCTCTGGTTTCAGAAATCAGGAATATTCAAATTTCTGGCAGGTGCTCAGTCCCAAGCATGCCAGATTTATAAGGTTATACTGTAATTAAATTCGTTTATTAGATTGGTCTGTTTATTTATTGGTCTGAAGTTTAAAGTTTACAGTTCTACTGTTTAAATTAAGATTAAAAATACCATGTAATATAGAGATGATGAGGTTCATGAGCTTATGCAGTAAAATGCTTAATTGACTGTGCTCCACTCAGGAAAGAACCTTTCTTTTTTCCCCTCTGGGGTTAGCTTTTCTTCTGCTTCTAAGAATGAGATTTTTTTTTCCTTTACCAGAAAAGGTCTACAATTTCTGAAGTTATCTTCCTGATTTAGTAATACCACATAAGATTGTTATTTAATCTTTGTCTGTTGAAAGGTGGTTCCTTTGTAAAATGAAATTAGTAATACTTCCTTGCTTCAAAGGATGTTAGAAGCTAAATTAACGTTTGCAAGCCATACTGATCTCCTGTAATGGACTGTGTTGCTCTTGTGTCAAATCTATTACTACTACTACAAAATACAGAATGTGTTTAGCATATCTTTCCTTGAAGGGAATCAAGAACATTACTAACCTTAAATCTAATCAACTTTAAAAAATGTATTTTATAGTTCTTATTCCGTCACTCATGTGTTGTCATTTAGAGAAAGTAGGATGACTATTGTAACTTAGTGTGTATACAAGAATAGAGTGGCAGAGGTTGACATTAAAAAGCAAGACATAACTGGAAAAAGGAGTTAATATCTTTATACAGTGCATAAATTATTTGTGAAACAAACTTTCACAAGACAGTGTTGATATAGAGAATAATAGAATTTTATGCCTTTGAATAATGGGAGTATTTACAACGACACTACACAGGCTGTGAACCCCCAAACTTCAGAATGCAAGTCTACCTCTAACTCTGCTGTATAAAAAGAAAATTTCTGTATAGGTTTGTTGTTGTTCACTATATTTCCACTGCAGTGACTCTTGCATTAGAGAGTCAGATTTAAGTGTTCTAAGTTCTACTTCTGACTCTAGAATTGTGTTACTTTGGTCTTGACCAGACCACTAAATTTCTCAGTGTCTGTTTCCACTTTTAACGGCTGCATGACATCCCCTTCCACATGTAATTAGAAAGCTTAATTCAGTCATATCTATGAAAAATTATGAGGTCAACAAATGAAAGTTTAAAAGTCTATAATATTTTTGAGTCCTGCTTGTGACTAGTTCAGGCTCTTCTCTTAAATAGTCTCTTAAAGTATCTTTGGTATCACAATTGTCCAAGAACCCTTCCT